GGGTGTGTGTAGGGGGGACTTGGGACTCATAGCTGGAAGGACAGCAAGGGAAGCCTAGGACATATTTCAATTTCTTTTTTCCTCTTTGAGGCAGCTCTCAGATCACACTGTTTTCTCTTTGACAGAAGCCTACTTCATTTGTGGGCCTTACGAGAAAAGTCTTAACTCGGTGGCAAATTGAGTTTTTCCACAGAAAGTTGGAGAGCTCTAAATCAGCCCTCTTTGGATTTGTATCAAATCCATAAGATTTGCCTGGAGACCAAAAGAAGCCTAGAAATGGACTGAGATATTTTTAGAGGAGGTGGAGAGGACTATTATGGCTATGCTCTGCCTCTACAGGAAAGCTTCTGAAGAGCAGTCGCTGGAGACCACAGGAGGGCAGAGGGCTCTTGTGCTCACATCCTGCATGCCGGTTTCACATTGAGGCATCTGGGTGGCCGCTGTGAAAAGAGGATGCCTGACTAGATCGAGCACCTTCTGATGCTCTTATGGAACCTCCAGGCCCAGATGCAGTCTATCTAGTTTCCTAGGCTCTTGGGAGCATTTGGCCACTGTGAGAACAGAATGCTGGGCTAGGTGAGCCCCCTTCAGCCTGATCCAGCAGAGTCGTGAATTCTGTCTTCTGTTCTAGAGGCCTTCTGTTATACAGGCAACACCCCATTTATGTGGGGGTTGTGTTCCAAGGCATCACACATTTAAGTGAAATTGCGTATATTAGGAACACCACTGAAAAAGCTTGCAAACACCCTCTAAACTTTTGGAAACCATGGGAAAACCCTTTAAAAAACCAAAACCACCAAACTCCACCACAATTGTTTCCTCCAAACTTCCTTGCTCAAATTTCAACTCTCCAAAGAACTGAAAGGTCTGTGCAAAGGCCCCTGGGATTACACTAGCAAAGGCTTGTGATGGTATTGCCAGCTGGTATTTTCGCACTCTTTTAGGGCTGTTTTTGCCCCTTTTGTGCCACATCCGGGTTTGCGGCAGTACACAGTCACATGTGCCTTGAAAGTGCGTAAATTGGGAGTTGCCGGTACAAATCAAATGTGAAACAAAATGGAGGTTCTTAGCACCACTACCAGACCAGTTTCTTTGCTAAGAGAGAGCGAGCGAGAGAGAGACAGAGACAGAGGCAGGCCAGATTTCATCAGCATCCTTTTGCTGGGCTCTTTCCGCCCATCTCCTCCTGCTGCTGCTCCTCACCAGGATGTACCTGTTCCCAGTGAAATTCCAAAAAGGTCCTGCCTGGTCTTGCTCAGGTGCTCTTCCTTTCTTAACAAGCTCCATGAAAGGCTACACAATTAAGGCTCCAGTCAGACTGGGCGCAGCTCCTTCCATCATCCTCCCTAATTAATTAAGTAATTAGGATTTTACAATGTTCCTCCGGGCTCATTCAAAGGGAAAACATAAACAGAAGCCTCGAACAAAACAAAACATTGCTAATTTATTGTTCTTTTCTATAAAGGGGCATTGTTGCCAGGGATTCTTCAGCCACAAATCTTGCATTGCAGGGGGTTGAAGTAGAGGACCCTTCCAACCCTATAATTCTAGGATACTCTGCACTGGTCATAGACTTTTCTAATTAGTCCACAACAAGATTCCTAAATTGGAACTAGAACTTATTATTATGGCCAGATTCTACCTGGCCCTTGTCTAGAAACTTATTTTCTCCTCTCTTTTGGGGGAAAATTTTAATCCCACAGCCTACCCTTTTTCAATGGAAACTTATTTTATTGATTTATTCATTGCATTTGCAGCAATAAATCTTTTCCTCCAAGAACCTCAAGGTGGCTTGCTTGGTTCTCTGCCTCCACGTTTAATCCCCACAACAACCCTGTGAGGTAGGTTAGGCTGAGAGGCAGTCACTGGCTCCCAAGGTCACTAACTGTGAGCTTCATGGCTGAGTGGGGATTTGAACCCTGGTCTGACCACCACACCGCACTGGCTCTCAATTTGGGACTGGTCATTTTAAGTGTTATTTGGGTATCTTGCTCCACAAAACCGAAGTATTTTTTATGTGCTTCTGATGTGATTTCGGAGGTGCAGTGAACTGCTGATCTGGTGGCTCATCTCCAATCAGAACTAGCGTCACTCAGTCAAGAGGGTTGTTGTGGAGATTATCACGTGAGGAAGGAGAGAATCACATGCTACCTTGAGGTCCTTGGATAAAAAGGCAGACTATAAATACAATAAATAAATGAACCAAAGCTGAATGGGGGTTGGAAGGTGGCGGACTCTCCTGGAAACGTCTTAACAAAGGTCAGATGGCTATATGCCAAGGGCTCTTTAGCTGATATTCCTGCATTGCAGAGTGGGATGGGCTAGATGACCCCTGGGGTGCCCTCCAACTCTACCTTTTTCTGATCAGCCCTTACAGCCCCCGTTTTGCCGAGACAACTTGGCCTTGTGTAAACCTCAACAGGTGGCAATTAAAGCATAACAGAGCCTGCTTCTCCATGTGCCCCCCCCTCGACTCTTCATACTTCTGCAAAGGAGCTGCACCCAGACAGCTGATATTAAGACAAATTGGCTTCTTTTGAAAGAAGGTGGTGTGTGTGTGTGTGAGCATGCATCAGCGGCAAAGCAGCGGAGGACGTCCCCCCAGGGGACAAAACATCGAGCAGGTGACAGATGATATGGATCAGGTGAGGGCGGGTGCATGTCTGTGTATGGAGTTGGCCAGGAGCCCGCCAGGAGGCATGCTGGGGCCTTCCTCCGCAAACCCTGGCCCCACCCCTCTCCGGTAAAGCAGCTGATTGGCAGCCGCCCAGCTTTCGGGGGGAAATGAAGCATCATACACCTGGCTCAGCCTGCCAGCCTGGGTTGCCTTTATCCTCCGGCAGACTGGAGGAGGGCAATTGTTGTCCCTATTTTCAAAAAGGGGAAAAGAGAGGACCCAAATAATTACCGCCCAGTCAGTCTGACATCAATACCAGGGAAGGTTCTGGAGCAGATCATTAAGCAAACAGTCTGTGAGCACCTAGAAAGGAATGCTGTGATCACCAATAGTCAGCATGGATTTTTGAAAAATAAGTCATGTCAGACTAACCTGATCTCGATTTTGACAGAATTACAAGCCTGGTAGATGAAGGGAACGCAGTGGATGTAGCCTACCTTGATTTCAGCAAGGCATTTGACAAGGTGCCCCATGATATTCTTGTAAAGAAGCTGGTAAAATGCGGTCTTGACTATGCTACCACTCAGTGGATTTGTAACTGGCTGACTGACCGAACCCAAAGGGTGCTCATCAATGGTTCCTCTTCATCCTGGAGAAGAGTGACTAGTAGGGTGCCCCAGGGTTCTGTCTTGGGCCCGGTCTTATTCAACATCTTTATCAACGACTTGGATGATGGACTCAAGGGCATCCTGATCAAATTTGCAGATGACACCAAACTGGGAGGGGTGGCTAACACCCCAGAGGACAGGATCACACTTCAAAACGACCTTGACAGATTAGAGAACTGGGCAAAAACAAACAAGATGAATTTTAACCGGGAGAAATGTAAAGTATTGCACTTGGGCAAAAAAAATGAGAGGCACAAGATGGGTGACACCTGGCTTGAGAGCAGTACATGTGAAAAGGATCTAGGAGTCTTGGTTGACCACAAACTTGACATGAGCCAACAGTGTGACGCGGCAGCTAAAAAAGCCAATGCAATTCTGGGCTGCATCAATAGGAGTATAGCATCTAGATCAAGGGAAGTAATAGTGCCACTGTATTCTGCTCTGGTCAGACCTCACCTGGAGTACTGTGTCCAGTTCTGGGCACCACAGTTCAAGAAGGACACCGACAAACTGGAACGTGTCCAGAGGAGGGCAACCAAAATGGTCAAAGGCCTGGAAACGATGCCTTATGAGGAACGGCTAAGGGAGCTGGGCATGTTTAGCCTGGAGAAGAGGAGGTTAAGGGGTGATATGATAGCCATGTTCAAATATATAAAAGGATGTCACATAGAGGAGGGAGAAAGGTTGTTTTCTGCTGCTCCAGAGAAGCGGACACGGAGCAATGGATCCAAACTACAAGAAAGAAGATTCCACCTAAACATTAGGAAGAACTTCCTGACAGTAAGAGCTGTTCGACAGTGGAATTTGCTGCCAAGGAGTGTGGTGGAGTCTCCTTCTTTGGAGGTCTTTAAGCAGAGGCTTGACAACCATATGTCAGGAGTGCTCTGATAGTGTTTCCTGCTTGGCAGGGGGTTGGACTCGATGGCCCTTGTGGTCTCTTCCAACTCTATGATTCTATGATTCTATAGTTTTGTAGCATTGCAAGGGAACCCCAAGGGCCATTTAACTCAGGATTCACAGCTAAATAATCCCCGACAGATGGCCATCCAACCCGTATTTCAAAACCTCCAAGAAAGCATGATCAATGAGATCATCTGCAGGAGCATTATTGGACATTTCCCCAATTGGTAAGGTTCATCTGATAACAAGAAACAAAGCCTCTGCACATAGAACTCCCTGCCACTGGAGATTCAGCAGTTGCCTTTTGTGACAACTTCTAAACTGCTGCTGAAATATTTTCTATTCTGTCAGGCGAGGAAGAAGATATCCTTTCACAATGATTAACTGATACCTGTTTTTAACATTTTTATATGGTTTTTATTGTATGCCTTTGTTTTTATTGTATGTTTCCAAGTGCAATTCAAAGTGTTGGTGCTGACCTAAAGCCCTAAATGGCTTCAGCCCTGTATACCTGAAGGAGCATCTCTACCCCATTGTTCAGCCCAGACACTAAGGTCCAGCTCCAAGGGCCTTCTGGCAATTCCCTCATTGTGAGAAGTGAGGTTACAGGAACCAGGCAGAGAGCCTTCTTGGTGGTGGCACCTTCCCTGTGGAACGCCCTCCCAACAGATGTCAAGGAGATAAAGAACTACACAACTTTTAGAAGAATCTGAAGGCAGCTTTGTCTAGGGAAGGTTTTAATGGTTGATATTTTACTATGTGGAAGTGGAAACTCAACTTGCAAAGCTGAAATAATGCACCAGGAGGGAAAGTTATCATCAATTATTAACATTTTATTTCTTTACTGGGTTAAACAAGGAGCAGAGAAAACCCCTGATCCAAAATACAATGGAACTGAAAGCGTTACAGGTACAGAGACTACTGAAAACACAGAGTAGGATAATAGTTTTAATACAACTGAATTATAGCATGGTTTTGTTGTTTGGGTTGGTTTTTTCCCCCTTCCCCCCCTCCCTCAACTCCCAAACTGTTTTTGGAAAATAAATGTAATAGGAACTAGTGCAAAAAAGTTCTAAAGATGAAGCACAGTGTGTCAAGTGGCGTAAGAAAACCGTCCCACCCCCTTCCAAAGACACAGTCGCTTTATTATGACAGTTGGCTCGTCTGCACTTTCACTAGACCCTTATTTGGATTATATTGTGCCCCAATTAATTCCTCTGGGTCCGAGAGATTTTCTCATTCTTCCACGGTTGCTCCTTGCGAAAATCCAGTACCACTTACCAAATCACATTTTGCCAGCTATGCAGAAAGTCCAAAGAGAGATTTTGCTTAAGGGCTCCTCCACACTTCCACTCGACCCATATTTGGATTGTATTGTGTATCAAATAATTCCTAGTTTCTTGTTCTGTGGCCACACCTTGCATAAATCCAATCTTACCTCTGAATCAGATCTTTATCAGACATGTAGAAAATCCGGAGATTTTGCTTAACTGAGCAAATAACTTTGAGGGTAAGAGCTGTTTGACAGTGGAACAGACTCCCTCGGGAGGTGGTGGACTCTCCTTCATTGGAGGTTTTTAAGCAGAGGTTGAATGGCCATCTGTCAGGAATGCTTTAGTTGTGATTCCTGCATTGCAAGGGATAGGACTAGATGACCCCTGGAATCCCTTCCAACCATACAATTCTATAATTTTTTTCTATGATCTTTAATTCAGTGGGTAAGATCAGATTTTCACAAGGCACAGCGGTGGATCAACAACAAGAAGTCTCAGAATCATGGGAACGAATAGCAGCACGATATGACTGAAATATGGGGCATGCAAAAGGGTAGACAAGCCCTCTGTTAAGCAACACTTCCGCACATCTGGTGAGATCCAATTCAGCAGTTAAGATCAGACTTTTTGCAAGGCACGGCAGTGGAAAAAATGAGAAAAGCTCTCGGACCTGGAGGAAATTAATTGGCACATGACACAATCAAAACGTGGGGTAAGCAAAAGTGTGGATGAGCCCAGAAAGGAGAAAGTAGGACAGAAACAAGGCAGGGAGAGAGTAGAAAGGAGGTTTTAAAATGTTGACTTCAGCAACATGACTTTAATCTTTTAAACCTCACCACTATGTACTGTAAAAAATGACTTGTTTTCCCCCATGGCAGGCCTGGCCTTGGTGCCTACAAGCACTTGAGAAGGGTTCAGCAGCAACCAGGCCCCGGGTCTCTGAATGACATTCCCCCAACCTCTCTTAGCTCACCAGATCTCACTCAGTGGAGTGACAAGAAGAGGCAGGCATTGTTTCAATGTGCTGGGGCTCTAGTCCACCACAAAGGCCCTTGAAGTATTTTCAAATGAGATCATTAAAATAAAAATATATAAAACAAGCATTGTAAAGCAACATTTAAAATGAACCCACACAACACATTTTGAATACTAGATCAGAGCACCCCCCCACCCAATTGCCCTTGCCAGTTCCATTGGCTGCCTGGCCACCTCCCACCTCCAGCTTGTTTGGTTTAAGGACTAGAACTTTGAATCATAGAATTGTAGAGCTGGAAGGTGCCCCAAGGGTCATCCAGTCCAACCCACTGCAATGCTTCCTGGGGGATGCTTCTCCAGAAATGTCCTCTTGGACATGGAGGAAAAGTTAGAAGTGCCTTTTTAGGGTGACTAAAAATTGGGGATGGGTGGGTGGGTACTGCTGCATTCTTGGACTGGAGAGTATCACGGTAAAGCCATGTCCTTCTCAGAAGGTGACAGTGTTTGTATTGCCAACCATCAAATGAACAGACACAACTCGGGGCAGAAAATGATAGGGCTCTAAACACATTTTTGCACTGAAAAGGCAGGTTTTAAACAAAAATGCAAAAATGCAAACACCATCAACCAGGAGGTGAGGTGGTGATAACAACAGAATCACAGACCTTGGAGTCAGGGCCCTGTGCATCCTGCCTTGTCTCATTCGGTAAACAGTTCCAAAGAACTGGAAAATAGAGGCAGAAGCATTTTCTGTGCATCACAAATGATGGGAGAAAGTCGGATTTCATAGAATCGTAGAGTTGGAAGGTATCCTCCAAGGGCCATCTCATCCAACCCCCTGCAATGCAGGAATCTTAGCTAAAGCCCTGACAGATGACCCATTGCCCCCCAACCTCTCACCTTGATGTGAAAGACAAAAAATATCCAAAATAACTTTAAAAGAAACACAGAACTGTGCATATACAGTGGTACCTCAGTTTATTAACTTAATCCGTTCTGGAAGTCCATTCTTAAACCAAAACCATTCTTAAACCGAGGGGCGCTTTCCCTAATGAGGCCTCCCGCCGCCAGTGCCCTTCCACCATTTGGATTCCGTTCTTAGACCGAGGTAAAGTTCGCAAACCGGGACACTACTTCCAGTTTTGCGGAGTTTGTAAACCGAATCGTTCTTAAACTGAAGTACCGCTGTACATGTAAAAAAATGGGGTCTTAACAGGCCACAAACTTAACATGAATCAACAGTGTGATGCAGCAGCAAAAACGGCTAATGGAATTCTAGGCTGCATCAAGAGAAATCTATGGAGTCCAGAACAAGGGAAAGAATAGCACCATTCTATTCTGCCTTGATCAGACCCCACCTGGAATCCTGTGTCGGGTTCTGGGCACCCAGGTTTAAGGAATCTGGCAAGCTGGAAGGTTTGCAGAGGAGAGTGACCAAGATGATTAAGGGTCTTGAAACCAAACCTTGTGAGGAACAGCTGAGGGAGTTGGAGAAGGGGAGACTGAGAGGCCGCATAAGAGCCCTTCAAATATCTGAAGGGCTGTCACAGGGGAGATGGAGCCAGCTTGTTTTCTGCTGCTCCAGAGGTGAGGATCCAAAGCAAAGGATTTAAATTTCAAGAAAGAAGGTTCCAACTAAACATTAGGAAGAACTTTCAATGGGTAAGAACTGTTGGAAGGTGGTAGATGGACTCTCCTTTCTAAACATGAGATAGATGGCTATCTGTTGGGGATTCTTTATAATGATGATGATGATACTATGATTACTGGATGAACTTTGGGGAAAATTCTCTTTAGCAGAGCAGGGACAGTTCAAATAATAAGGAGAAACTCCACGTTCAAAAGGGGAATCTGTCTCTTGACCGTTCTGGGCCAAACGAGACCTGACTTTAAAGACTTCATTTAAAAAATGGTTTCTTTAAAAAGCCTGACTAGCAGCAATGGAAAGCGTATGGGTTTTTTTAAAAAATCAGTATCAGGATCACAGAAAGTGGGAAGGCAGGAGTGATTTACTGTATTGGATTCCTGCATTGCAGGGATTTTACTAGAAGACCCTTGGGACCCTTTCCAATTATACCGTTCTATAAATTTAACCCTTTCCCTTCCAAGCTGCAGTTCTGCCAATAAAACTCTTATTTCAAATATGAGGGAACTCCCAGTGATTGCCAAACCAATTCCAAAAATGGAAAAATTGGACTACACCAGCGGGGGTGGGAGGAGGAGCAGGAGTGGACCTGCTGTTGGTGGCATGTCCTAGGACATATTCTGGAGGACAAGGGTGATGCAGGCATGCCCTCAATTTAAGCTCTTTAAGGAGCAAGAGAATCCCACTTGAAAAACCGTATCATAGTAGAGCTGGAAGGAACCCAAGCGCCATCTAGTCCAACCCATTGCAATGCTGAAGAGCCAACCCATCAAATAACATGGCTTGACCGAGAGCACTGAAAAGGTTGCTTGGGAATTATTAGTGACTGATGGAGGGTCCTACAGGTGGGGGCAGGGGGCAGCAGGGCAGTGCACCATCACAATTATAGTTTGGATTGGGCTTAGAGGATGATGGGGGAGGGGAAAAAAAAACAACGGATCTCTGCCAAGCCGTTTCTTTTGCCCCTAGGGCAAGTTACCCAGTATGGGGAAGAGATCACTGTGGCCCCATAAACGAGACATGTTATGTGTGGTGGCGGTCAGAGAAGTGGCCCTTGGTGGGCCGGGGGGGGGGGTTGCCTTTCCTAAGAAGGCAGTTCTTTCCAAGCCCCACTGTGGGCCTTTCCTCGGCCTCTGAGCCTCTATGAGGCTGAAGGCCGACAGCTTGAGGCCTGCTGCTGACAGAACCATTTTCCCCTGCAGAGACCCAGTCTGAGGTCTGCAGCCGATCAAGCCTTTTTCTCCAGAGGCCGTGCCTGAGGCCTCCTGCTGACATAACTCTATTCTCCAGAGGCCCAGCCTAAGGCCTGCTGCTCACTGAGCCATTTCCCCCCCAGAGATCTAGCCTAAGGCCTGCTGCTCACTGAGCCATTTCCCCCCCAGAGGCCCAGTCTGAAGCCTGCTGTGGAACAATCGCTTGTTCCCACAGCCCCCCAAACGCTTCAGAGACTCACCCACTGCAGGGCGGGCCCTGCGACGATCTGCTCTGGGGGGTGGGAGGGGGCTCTGCGTTGGGGTGGCTTTGTCTGTGTCACCCCCAGTCCTGTGCCGCCGCCCCCGCCACTGTAGGGAGAGCTTCATTGTGCCCACCCAAACCCCTTCTTTCCTCCAGGTGAGAAAAGAGCTGGAGGTTTCCTTTTTCCCTGCCTTGCAGAGGAGGTTCACTCGTCCCTTGCGAGGGTCTCATCCATGGTGGGGTAGGCCCCCAAGCTCAGTCCCCCGCTGCTGTGCACGCTTGAGAAGGACACCATGGTGTGGAGGAGCATCAGGACCAGGACGCAGAACCGGATCTTGCTGTTGCTGAGGCGGGACCCTGCAGACACTGGCAGCAGGGACGGGTGGTGGTGGTGGTACTGGGTGTGGTGATAGTAGAGGTTGTAGTGCTGCTGCTGCCGTTGCTGGTGGTTATGAGGGGTGTTGTGGTGTTGGTCGTGGAATGGCTCTGATTTGGCAGATGCATTGCGATAGCCTTCCAGGTGCCGGTCGCAGGAGTCCCACCGCACATCACAGCACTTGGCTTCCTGGTCAGGCAGCTCCCTCTCCAGCAACCCTGGCAGAATGAGAACAGAAACAAAGGAGGAGAAGGAAGAGGTGGCATCAGAAATGGCACAGGTCTGCTAAACGCTACCTTCAGGAGAGCTCACTGGTGTACAGGAAACCAGGGTTGCACTATAGGAACCCTCAAATAGGCGGTAAAAAAAGCAAGAAGCAAGCATTTGGAGGGAATGGCTTGTGGCTTCCTTTGTCTCTGTACTAATGCACAAGGCATGGGAAATCAACAGGGTGAATTTGAGCCCTTAATCATAGAACTGAAGAGTTGGAAGGGACCCCAATGGTCATCTGCTGCAACCCCCTGTAGTGCTAGGGTTTCAATGGGCCAGCAGTGGAAAAGCTTGAAAAATATGCATTTGGCTGGGTGGTATAAGAACTTAAGGACTTTGGCTTTTGTGGAAAAAATGACACATAAGCTATGTGTTTCCAGGCTGGGGGATCCAGGAGGCTTCTATGCCACCTGGTGGGCATTTCCAGTGCTTTGGACACAGATGCTCAACATTTACCATCCATGCCAACTTGGGAAGTAGGAATGTATCAATTTTTATCGGTGTGTCTCACCATTTCTTTCTCTTTTCATTTATTGTTTGCTTGCTTGCTTTGGATATGATGCAATACCCTGCTACTTCACTTTTGGGTTGGTAATTGTGTTGATATCTTTATTTTTTTTAAAGAAACACTAGGCAGGCTTTGGACAAGTCCAAGGCTAACTCCCTGTGGATAGTATCTTGGACAAGCAGAATATATTTTGTCCAAATATACAAATCCAACGATCCCAATGATCAGGGAATACAAGCTGTTTGACAGTAGGACAGACTCCCTCAGAAGGTGGTGTGCTGTCCTTCATTGGAAGTTCTTAAGCAGAAGTTGGATGGTGTCTGCCAAGGATTGTCCAGCTGCAATTCCTGCATTACAAGGGGTTGGAATAGATGACTCTTGGGTTCCAACTCTACAATTCTATGATTCTATGACTAATGAAGGTGGTGGGCTCTCCATCAGTAGAGGTTCATAAGCAGAGGTTGGATGGTTGTCTGTCAGGGATTTCTGAGCTGAAATTCCTGCATTGAAGGAGGTTAGACTAGATGACACCTGGGGGCACCTCCTCACTCTACAGTTCTCTGATTCTATAACATAGATTCTAAGCCTCACCTGTGCAGATGAAGCCAGGCAACCCTCCATAGATCAGCTCGTCATTGTCGGGCAAGACGAAGGGACATCTTGTTTGCACCTCCAGGCAGTATTGCTTGCATGGGATCCGGTGTTGGCACTGCAGTTGGGTCACATTGAAGTACTCAGAGCACAGCCATGCCTTGTAGACAGCCTGCAGGAAGGCAGGAAGGAGAAGGGGGCATTAGAAAAATGGGACCCACAAGACTGACACAGGTCTGGAGGCAACAGGGAGCAGCCTTGCATGCTCTGAAGGTAGGAATAAAGAGAAACACTGTACAGAAAGAATGTAAACCCAGCACCCCTGCAATTGGATTTGGAATAAACGTAAGAGGAGCTCTGCTGCATGAGGCCAATGGCCCAGCCGGTCTAGCATCTTGTTCTCACAGTGTTCAAATGCCCCTAACCATTGAGGAATAAAGGAATGCCTCTGGACCTGGACTTTTGAACATTCTCAGTCAGGCAGACAAACAGAACAGGTGCTGCAGATCACTGCAGCAGCTCCCTCACCATTCATGTCTCTTGGTCCCACGGACCCTGTGAGACAGCATTCCAGGCATCCCCCTCAAATTCTTCTGCTAAATGCTCTGTTTACAAGTTACGGTCATGAGAGCTTCACCTGCTGGACTTCTTCCTGTAATATTTCAGTCTTTGCTGATTGTGGGGGTCCAGGGTCTAGCAGGTGACGCTGCTGCCTCTTGCTCCTACATTTGAACACTAGGCTGAGCAGTTGAAACCTAACCGGAACGCACTCATTTTTGCCACCAGTTCAAAGCATAAGCACAGAGGTTAGGAATAAGAAATAAAGCTCCACGGTATCTCCTCTTAGTAGTTAGTCGATGTGCACAGGTCCCACAGAGGGTAAATAAAATCTATCTTTTAAACTTTCCTCTGCATGACACAGTTCAAGTTGGCACCAGAGCAGCTCCTTTCTCTCTCAAAATATTGCCCCTGGCTTTACAAATAATGATGCTCTACTACAGTTATTTGTTTCCAAATGCTACCCTCCCCACTGCCGGCAGCCTCTTTCTCTCCCCTCCTTCTCCTTTGTCTAGCTTCGTCTACACTCCTTTCTGCACCATCATCCTGCTTCGTTTCATGTTTGATTTCATTATCTGTCAAAATGGGTGTGGGTGTGTGATAACTCCATTCAGGAGAGAATGGATAACTAAAATCTGGGATGTAGTTATGCATGGTTAAGCTTCCATATATTGTGAGAACCAGAGTTGGTGGACAGCAAGATAACGTCTTCATCAAGAAATGGAGTCATGTTATAACGGAGTAGCACAGTAATACAGCACAGCTGTGATTCCTGCGTTGCAAGGGAAATTCCTGCGTTGCAAGTTTAGACTAGATGACCCTCACTGTCCTTTTCCAGTTCTATGATCTAAGAACACCAACTCTCCTTGGAGAAATCTCCTCACTGGAGATTTCTAACTAGGGGCTGGATGGCCATCTGTCAGGGATTCCTTAGTTGCAATTTGGGCACTGAAGGGGGTTGGACTAGATGGCCCTCAGGGTCTCCTTCCAACCAGGCAATTCTATGATTCACATTATGTAAACCAGTGAATAAATGCACTAAAGAATAATGCTGACACCACCATCAGTAAAGGGCTTCATTTAGCAACGACACCATCAATAAGGAGTGTCAGGCTCCAAATGTTTGTGGTGGTGGGGATATCCTTCTTGCCTCTTTTTCGGTGACGCTAGAGAAGGGGAAGTTTTGAGAGGGGCTGTTTCCTCCCTTCCCGTCCTTTGCTTGTGGCTACCACTCGCTTGCTCACTCCCCCAAACTTGGTTGCGCTGCCCTGACGTGCCCACCCCCACATGCATCCTGCACATTTCTCTGGGAAGCAGATGTGGTTGCCATGGCAGCCATGAGCTGAGTGTTGCGGCTGGACCAGGATTTCCCAGCAGGAGAAGGAAACCGGTGGCTTTCGAAGGGAAATGACGGACAATCCTGCTTCCTATGCAATTCATAGAATTGTAGAGCTGGAAGGGACCCCCAGAAGGGTAATCAGGACCAACCCCTTGAAATGCAGGAATCATCACTAAAGAATCCCTGACAGGTGACCATCCAAACTCTGCTTGAGAACAGTCAATGTAGAGTTGTAAGGAAGGTGCCCCAATAGTCATCCAGTACAACCCCCCGTAATGCAGGAATCACAACTAAAGCATCCCTGAAAGATGCTATAAAACTCATGGAAATGTGAGCTGTGGACATGCCCCACCCACAGGTTGTGCTGCCTAATAGAGTGAACTCTTCTCTAGCCTGCTTTAAAGGGCTACCGTGTGTGCCGAGCTTGAACAGATGCTCAAACATCTCATTAGCAGTGCTCATTTCCCTGCATTCATGATTTATGAGACAGACCCAATCCAGATGCTCTGACCGCAATAAAATCGCAATTCCCAATAACTGCTGTCTTTAAAGGATAATTTTCTTTTTCTTTTTTTGCGGGTGGTGGTGGGGGTTGCTTTGCTTCTCAGAATTATATTGTTGTTTTTATTGTTCCATTTTAATCCATGTATATTTTATAGTTGCATTTCTATACTCAGGAGTATTTGAAGAGCAAGCATCAAATAAACTGAAATGCTGCAATGTAAATATGTGCGGAAGAAATGAAGGAGGCGGCTCTGCTTTTCAAGGGAGGAGCAGGCAGCCAGAGCAGCACTGAGGAATCATAAGAGGATTTCCCTAATCCTCTTTTAAAACCATCCTGTAGGAGGGAGTTCCACAGCTTAACTCTGTGCTGCATGAAGGACTTCCTTCTCTCTGAATCACATCCTTGCAAAGGATCAGACAATGGGAGTAGAGAGAGATATGTGGTCCCCACCCGTTTTTAACACACAAGAAAGCTGTGATTCCTGCACTGCAGGGCTAGATGACTGTTGGGGTCCCTTCCAACTTTATAAGGCAAACCTCTGCCTCTGGGAAACGGATGAAGCTGTGGGGGAATGCTATGTGCTGCTGTCCTGACACCACAACATGGATACTTGGGATGAACTGGTTCAGGAAGAAGACATTCCCCCAAAAGTAAGTTAGTGCCCCCTCCCTGGCATCAGTGAGGTGTAGTGGTTAGAGCGTTCGACTAAGGACCAGGGAGAGACTGGGGTTCAAATTTTCTTCCAGCCGTAATGCCCAGTGGGAGTGACCTTGGGAGCCAGCCACTGCCTTTTGGCATGACCTACCTAACAGGGTGAGGGACGCGGGTGGCGCTGTGGGTTAAACCACAGAGCCTAGGACTTGCCGATCAGAAGGTTGGCGGTTCAAATCCCAGCAACGGGGTGAGCTCCCGTTGCTCGGTCCCTGCTCCTGCCAACCTAGCAGTTGGAAAGCACGTCAAAGTGCAAGTAGATAAATAGGTACCGCTCCGGTGGAAAGGTAAATGGTGTTTCTATGTCCTGCTCTGGTTCGCCAGAAGCGGCTTAGTCATGCTGGCCACATGACCCGGAAGCTGTATGCTGGCTCCCTCGGCCAATAAAGAGAGATGAGCGCCGCAACCCCAGAGTCGGTCACGACTGGACCTAATGGTCAGGGATCCCTTTACCTTTACCTTACCTAACAGGGTTGTTGCGGGGATTAAATGAGGCCTAGGACCTGGAGACCAGGGTTCAAATTCCCACTTGACCATGAAGTTTGCTGGGTGTGACCTTAGGGGCCTGTCGCCGCCTTCTCTCAGCCTAACTCACCTCACTCACCTCACAGTGGTGTTGTTAACCTTGTTCTGATGATCTTGGCTGATGACACCCAACTCTATCTGTTGATGGATGGCCATCCTGACTCAGCCCCAGACACACTGACCAGATGTTTGGAAGCTGTGGCTGGATGGTTACGTGGGAGCCGGTTGAAGCTAAATCCTTCGAAGACAGAGGTCCTGTGGCTGGGACGGGACGATATGGGATTGGGGGGGGCAACTCTCATCTCTTGTGGGGGTGCAATTAGTGCCAGCACCATCCGTTAAGAGTTTGGGTGTAATCTTCGACACCTCCCTTTCCATGGAGGCGCAGATTGCAGCTACAACAAAGGCGGCATTTTTCCATCTCCGCCAAGCTAAGCAGTTGGCTCCTTACTTCTCTCGCCCTGACCTAGCCACTGTGATCCACGCGACGGTCACCTCCAGACTGGATTATTGTAACTCGCTCTACGTGGGGTTGGCCCTTGAGACTGACCCAGAAACTCCAGCGGGTGCAGAATGCTGCAGCGAGACTCCTTACGGGGTCTTCGCTGCGAGATCACATTCACCCGGTGCTATACCAGCTGCACTGGCTCCCAGTGGAGTACAGGATCAGGTTTAAGGTGCTGGTTTTAACCTTTAAAGCCCTATACGGCCTAGGACCCTTGTACCTACGGGACCGCCTCTCCTGGTATGCCCCACAGAGAAACTTACGGTCTTCAAATAAAAACATCTTGCAGGTCCCAGGCCACAGAGAAGTTAGGCTGGCCTCAACTAGAGCCAGGGCTTTTTCGGCCGTGGCTCCAATCTGGTGGAACACTCTGTCACAAGAGACCAGGGCCCTGCGGGACTTGACATCTTTCCGCGGGGCCTGCAAGACAGAGCTGTTCCACCAGGTCTTTGGCCAGGGCACAGCCTGACTCCCTCCCTCGGCAATCTTCGCGGAGCTCTGGCCCAATGGTTGCCAGTGGCTTGAATTAATTAATTTTATAATGAATGATTTTAGAGTGTTGTTTGTGCTGTACTTTTGTACTGTTTTATTGTTGTTAGCCACCCTGAGCCTGGCTTCGGCTGGGGAGGGCGGGATATAAATAAAATTTATTATTATTATTATTATTATTATTATTATTATCATTATTAAGGATTAAATGAGGAGGGGGAGGACAGTTAAAGCACCACCTCCAACTCTCTGAAGGAAAGCTGGGGTGTAAATGCAGTGAGTAAATAAGCTAAACCATGGTAAGATGTAATCTGCACTTCTGGAGGCTGGAAGCCAAGGAGAGTGGTGGGACTCCTGTCCCTTCAAAAGGAAAATGAGGCTAGGGTTGCCACTCATAAGAATATAAGAAGAGCCAGTGGCCCATCTAGTCCAACATCCTGCTTACACAGGAGCCAACCAGATGGGAAACCCACAAGTAGGATCCCAGCACAAGAGCAATTCTTTCCACTTGTGGTTCCCAGCAGCTGGTATTCGGAAGTATTGCTACCTCCAGCTGTGGAAGAAGAGCAGAGCCCTTGTGGCTAGTAACCACTGAGAGCCCTCTCCACTATGGTGGGCATCAATGCCTTCTGTGGGAATTTCTTTCATCTTTCGCAAATCTTCCCACATTGGGTGCTGATGGGTTCTAATGACGAGCGAGAGAGGAGAGCTTTTTTCGATCCACTTTCTCCATGCCATGCATCATTTTATAAATTTCTATCATGTCATATCGTCCTCACCTTTTCTCCAAATTGTCCCAAATTGCTGCAACCTTTTCTCCTTGGGGAGCCGCTCCAATTGCCTTGACTGCTTTGCTTGCCCTTTTCTGAACCTATCCCAACTCCACAATATCCTTCCTGAGGTGAGGCGGCCAGAACTCTACACAAATGCACTGTAGATTTGCATAATGGGGCATTATGGTACCTGCAGTTTTCAATTTTCAGTTCCTTTCCTTATGACCCTTAGCATTGAGCTTGCCTTTTTCACAGCCACTAAATACTAGGCCACCTCATTTGGATGAAGAATTTGCAAGAACTTGTCCCACAAAGATCTTTCAGATACCACGACAAAAATGGGCTACCTAGTCCTTGGTACTTCAAAGGTACTTCAAAGGTTTTGGCCTAAAAAGCCTTAGGATCCCAATACATCCCAATTGGAACCACCCCAGACCCTACGAACATCATTTGAAGCCCTTTTCTGTGCTACCCTTCCATGGGAGGTCTGCAGGTTGGCCATGCGTGAATAGGGCCTTTTCAGTAGTGGCTCCCACCTTGTGGAATGCTCTCCCCAATGAGAGCTCTCCTGGCACCATCATTACATAACTTTAAGTGCTAGGCAAAAACATTTCTTTTCTGCCAGGCCTTTTTGGCTTTTAATTAATAATAGAATTGTAGGGTCTGAAGCGTTCCAGGGCTCATCTAATCCAACCCTTGCAATGCAGGAATCTCAGCTAAAACATCCCTAACAAGTGGCCATCCAACCTCTGTTTGGAAACCTGCAATTGAGCCACCTTAGTTAACATCAATGATAATTCTATGATACTACCGTATTTTTCGCTCTATAAGACACACCAGACCATAAGACGCACCTAGTTTTTGGAGGAGGAAAACAAGAAAAAAAAATATTCTGAATCTCAGAAGCCAGAACAACAAGAGGGATCGCTGTGCAGCGAAAGCAGTGATCCCTCTTGCTGTTCTGGCTCTGAGACTAACTGCGCAGCCTGCATTTGCTCCATAAGACACACACACATCCCCCTTACTTTTAGGAGGGAAAAAGTGAGTCTTATAGAGCAAAAAATACGGTATATCTTTAACTCCCAGGCAAAAATAAATAAAATCCTCTTTTGCCAGGTCTTTGGCTTTTAACTATGACCTTTTTTTGCACACATGATAAGTTTTAATCTAGTTTGTGTGTGTGTGTGTGTGTGTGTGTGTGTGTATATATATACACACACACACACACACACACACACATACATACATACAGTGAGGGGGGGGAGTATTTGATCCCCTGCTTAATTTGCCAATTTGCCCTCTGATGAAGAAATGACCAGTCCATAATTTTAATGGTAGGTTTTTTTGTAGCTGTGAGAGACAGAATAACAACAGGAAAACCCCCAGAAACCCAGAAGACAAAAGTCAAGATTGATGTGCATTATAATGAGTGAAATAAGTATTTGATCCCCTATCAACCAGCCAGATGTCAGGCTACCTGGTATCTTCACTGTATGTAATGTGCTGAGATTAGAAGTGCCTGCTGCAGAGGTCTTACCTATAATGCCAGCTCGTTACAGTACAGTGGTACCTCTGGTTACGTACTTAATTTGTTCCGGAGGTTCATTCTTAACCTGAAACTGTTCTTAACCTGAAGCACCACTTTAGCTAATGGGGCCTCCTGCTGCTGCCGCGCCGCTGCCGCGCGATTTCTGTTCTCATCCTGAAGCAAGGTTCTTAACCCGGGGTACTATTTCTGGGTTAGCGGAGTCTGTAACCTGAAGGGTATGTAACTTGAAGCGTATGTAACCCAAGGTACCACTGTACCTTTACAAAAGACACCTGTCGACAGAAGCAATCAATCCAGCAGATTCCAAAGTAGCCACCATGACCAAGACCAAGGAGCTGCCCAAGGATGTAAGGGACAAGATTGTAGATCTGCACAGGGCTGGACTGGGCTACAAGACTATTGCCAAGTAGCCTGGTGAGAAGATGACAACAGTTGGTGCAATAATTTGCAAATGGAAAAACACAAAATAACTGTCAACTTCCCTCGGTCTGGGGCTCCATGCAAGATCTCATCTTGTGGAGTTGCAATGATCATGAGAACAGTGATGAAGCAGCCCAGAACTACACGGGGAAAACTTGTCAATGATCTCAGGGCAGCTGGGACCATAGTCACCATGAAAACAGTTGGTAACACACTACGCCGTGAAGGACTGAGATCTTGCAGAGCCCGCAAGGTCCCCTTGCTCAAGACAACACATGTACAGGCCTGTCTGCAGTTTGTCAATACACATCTGAATGACCCAGAGAAGAACTGGGTGAAAGTGTTGTGGTCAGATGAGACCAAAATTGAGCTCTTTGGCATCAATGCAACTCGCCGTGTTTGGTGGAGAAGGAATGCTGCCTACCACCCAAAGAACACCATCCCCACCATCAAACATGGAGGGGGACATTATGCTTTGGGGGTGTTTTTCTGCTAAGGGAACAGGACACCTTCACTGCATCGAAGGTACGATGGATGGAACCATGTATTGCCAAATCTTGGGTAAGCACCTCCTTCCCTCAGCCAGGGCATTGAAAATGGGTCGAGGATGGGTATTCCAGCATGACAATGAACCAAAACACACGGCCAAGACAACAAAGGAGTGGCTCAAGAAGAAGCACATTAAGGTCCTGGAGTGGCCTAGCCAGTTTCCAGACCTTAATCCCATCAAAAATCTGTGGAGGCAGCTGAAGGTTCGAGTAGCTGCACATCAGCCTCGAAATCTTACTGACTTGGAGAGGATCTGCAAAGAGGAGTGGGACAAAATACCTCCTGGGATGTGTGCAAACCTGGTGGCCACCTACAAGAAACGTCTGACCTCTGTAATTGCCAACAAGGGTTTTGCCACCAAGTACTAAGTCATCTTTTGCAAAGGGATCAAATACTTATTTCACTCATTATAATGCACACCAGTCTCTGACTTTTGTCTTCTGGGTTTCTGGGGGTTTTCCTGTTGTTATTTCTGTCTCTCACAGCTCCATTAAACCTACCATTAAAATTATGGACTGGTTATTTCTTCGTCAGAGGGCAAATGGGCAAATTTAGCAGGGGATCAAATACTTTCCCCCCTCACTGTATATGATTGCTTTTATTTGCAGTACAGTGGTACCTTGGGTTAAGTACTTAATTCATTCTGGAGGTCTGTTCTTAACCTGAAACTGTTCTTAACCTGAAGCACCACTTTAGCTAATGGGGCCTCCTGTTGCTGCCACGCCTCCAGAACACGATTTCTGTTCTCATCCTGAAGCAAAGTTCTTAACCCGAGGTAATATTTCTGGGTTAGTGGAGTCTGTAACCTGCAGTGTATGTAACCTGAAGCGTATGTAACCCGAGGCATATATCAGCAATAAGCCGAGATTCATACACAACTGATTTTTTTTAATAAAAAAAATGGTTTCATGTATTTATGTTTGTTCACTCCTTTAAAATGTTATATGTCACTTTGAGACTAGTATATTTAATTAATAATGATAGCATTAATAACACTGCCACAGGACAGAGCTGTTCACTTGCTGCTGGACTACAACTCCCATCCTCCTCCCTGACCTCTAGACATGCTGACAACTGGGGCTGATGGGAGTTGGAGTCCAGCAGCATCTTGCGAGAGGGGCACATATGCCTGCGGGAAACCAGCATGCGGAACATGAGCACAAGAGCATAAGAAAAGCCTGCTAGGTCAGGCCAAAGGCCCGACCTAGCCCGACTCTAGTCCAGAATTCTCATAGTGACCAACTGGATACTCCAAAGGGAGATCTGCAAGGAGGACCTAAGCACAAGAGCAACTCTCCCCTCCGGTGGCTTCCAGCAACTGGTACTCAGAAGCATTGATGCCTCAGATACGAGAGGCAGAGCACAGCCCTTCTGGCCAGCAGCCATCAATAGCTTTCTCCTCTTTAAAAATTTGTTCAGTCCACTTTTACAGCCACTTACCACTGCCTCCTGCCTGAGTCCCATAATGTAACTGGGTGCTATGGAAGACACATGAACTTCGGAGAGTTGGTTTCCAGCAACTGGTATTCAGAAGCATTCCTGTCTCTCACTGTGGAGGCAGAGCATAGCCATCATGGCTAGCAGCCACTGATGGCAAACCTCCCCCAATTCACTGACCCTCTGTTTTCCCTGCTTTATAACACCACATTTTCCTGCTGTGCTTTTACTACAATTCCATGATTCTGCACCTAGATCCGAGCCATGCTACCTCCCCCACAACCTGGACTCATCCCTCAAGCAGGGATACAGGACCAGCAGCCCCTCCTTTTCTTCCCACACAGGGGCCCCACATGGTACTTCAAATGAGTAAGGTAGGCAGGTGTGGGCAAGCAAATGGGGTTATATTAGTCACCCTTGAGCTCAAAACAGGGTCTGCTAGCCATCCCTGAAGCAAAACAAGTAACTTACTCCCAGAGAGCCAGTGTGGTATAATGGTTAGAAGATTGGACTATGGACCTGTGAGAGCTCAGGGTTCAAACCCCCTCTCAGACTCCAGGAAACTCACAGGGGGTGGGGAACACAGTATCTGCCTGTCAGCCTAACCTACCTCTCAGAGTTGTTGTGGGGATCAATGAGGATGAGGACCTGAGGGACCAGGGTTCAAATCGCTGCTCAGTCCTATAGCTCACTGGGTGCAACCTTGGGGTCCAGACACTGTCTTCTCTGAAGCTAACCTACCTTGCAGGGTTGTTGTAGGGATTACATGAGGAGGGGCTGGCCCCTAAAGTGGAAATAAGTGCAATGAATAAATGTAATGAAATAAGAGAAAGCCCAGATTCCTTCCATGGGAGAGGAAGGAGCCTGGAAGGCAGTCTCAGCTCCTGGGGTGACCCCCCCATTCTACAAATTCTCACAACTGAGAGCAAGTGTGTATAATAATACTATAATAATAATTTATTATTTATACCCCATCCATCTGGCTGGGTTTCCCCAGCCACTCTGGGCGGCTTCAAACAAAATATTAAAATACAATAGTCTGTTAAACATTAAAAGCTTCCGCTCCGGGGTTGCATAATGGTGTAGAGGTTAAAGGGCTGAATTATGAGCTGGGTGATACCAGGGTTCAAATCCCCACGTGGCCATGAATCTCATTGGGTGTGACCTTGGGAGCCAGTCTTTGCCTCTCAGCCTACCTTGCAGGGTTCTTGTGCGGATAAAACAGGGAGAAATATGGTATGTCCGCCACATTGAGCTCCTTAGAGAAAACAGGGCAGTCTATAAATGTAATTAACAACAACAACAGAAGCAACAATGACGACGACAACCCTACCTTGCAGTCTCTCAGGCAGGAGCGCACGGAATAGTCCTCGGCCTGCAGGTACTTCTCCAGCAGCTCCTCGAACTCCTCGTACTTTTCCTGAGCGTGTTGGTCCAGCCTCTGGTAGGCCTCGAGACAGCTGCTGCAGGCCTCCCCGCGCTGCGCCCCGCCTGCCGCCGCTGCCACGTCGGCCAACAGGCTCCGGAGGCTGCAGTCCAGGCTCTCCGCGGCGGCCATGCCCAGCAGCAGGTCCCAGACGGTGTAGGCTTGGCAGAAAGGGAGCCGCAAGCCGCGGAAGTGCCGCTCCAGGAAGGCTAGCTGCGGCGGGGACGCCTCAGCAGGCGCGGCGGCCGGGAAGGCGGACCCGGGCGGCCCTTGCAAGAGGCGGCGGTGGCTGCAGGCAGAGCTTAAGTCCAGGCAGGGCTGCGCCGTCGGGGCCGCGCCGTCGGGGCTGCTCGCCGCCGCGGCTTCTGGTCTGGGAGGCGCGGCCGGTTGGCCACAAGCTGAGCTCAAGTCCTGGTTGGGGCAGAGCCGCGCCTCCGCTGTCGGGGCTGCGCCTCCACCGCTCCTTACCGCGGCCTCCGGTTGGGCGACGCTCCTATCCTGGGCTCTGAGCTGGGCCCCGGCGGCGGCGCAAAGCCAGAGGCGGTCGGAGAGAAGGACGGTGAAGAAGAGGAGAGAGGCCAGCGACAGGCGCCATTTCTGGGCCCGCTCCGAGTCGGCGCACGGTTTCTCGGGGGGGTTCGGCGGGGTTCGGATGCAACGGCGGCGGTTCTGGGAGGCGGCGCCGCCGGTCATATTTTTGGAGGGGGCGGCGGCGGCGGGGCTCCGGCTTCTCTTCCTTCTCGGGGCTCCTCTCCGCACCCCCTCCCCGGTAATGTCACCGGCCTCCTCCTCCTCCTCCTCCGCGGCATGGTGGCTCGGCGACGACGGGCGGCGGCGGCAGAAGCATCCCCGGCCACGAGGCGACGCGCGGCAGCGGCGCCCCCCGTCCGCCGCCGCGCCCTCCGCCGCCGATCCCCGCCCCGAGGGCGCCCCCAGCCTCTTCCTGCCGCTGCCGCCGCGGGGCTGCTGCTGCTGCTAAGGGCTCCCGCCGGGCAGGGCATGGTGCTGCGTCGCCGCCAACGGGAGGCCCCTCACCATGGCCGGCCCCGGCGCGTCGGCATCCCCCGGCTCCGGCTCCGTCCGTCCGTCACCGCTCGGCCCTCCTCCTTCTCCCCCTCCCCCCCATCCCCGCTCAGCTCCGACGGGGCCTGGCCGGCCGGCTCGCTCCCGATCGCTCGCCGCGCGCCCGCTCCGCCTTCGCCCGCTTCTCCTCCGGACAGCCGCGTCGCGGAGCAGGAGCCTGGCGCCGGGGGGAACTCCGCCTGCCCATCGCTCGCCTTCAAGCCGTCGCCATCTTCCGTGAACACCTTGAGGAATGGGGTGGGGAGTGGGCTGCTGCTGCTGCTGCGCGAGGGCGCGTGCGCGCTGCTTGCTACCGGCCCCAACACCCCTCGAGCCGGCGGCGCGCTTCCTCCTTCCCTTGGCCGGACAGCTAGTGGGGCAGCGGGCAGAGACTCCTTCTGGGGTCCCCCTCCAATCTGGCTCCCCTCAAGAAACCCCCCTCCGTTACCCCTTCCAGGCACCCTCTCCGGGCAACTTTTTCCCCGGGAGGGACGGAGAAAGGGCCTCGGGCTTCCGTCGACGGTTCCCGAGCATCTCCATTGTCGCGACAGCCTCTCTCCGCTGGCGCTGTGGTTCTGAAAGGACAGCTCCGGCCAGCCTTCGGCCAAGAAGCACGCGCCGCCGCCGCCGCCGCCGCTCCTACATCGCCTGGACGCCCACTCTCTCGACTGTGGAAGGGACTCCCTGCGAAGGTGGCGAGTTCTCCTTTGTTGGAGGTTTTAAAGCAGAGTTTGGACGGTTACCCGTCAGGGATCCTTTAACTGTGATTCCTGCATTGCATGGGGTTGGACGAGATGAACCTTGGGGTGCCTTTCAACTCTAGTATTGTATGAAGCACCTCCACACCCCTCAAAGCCATCCTCCTTACAAAGGAGGGTGCTTCCAGTTCGTCTGTCTCCCAGAACCTGTAGAGGCCCATTTCCCCTGCCAGCTGGTTAGGGGGGGGATCATGACAATTGTGGGTCCCCCTCTGTTTGGTCTCTATCACATCCTGTGCCTCCCCCATCTGAGAGTCTGAAGCAGCTGAGACAGTCACTCCTGCTTGTTTGAACTTTGCACTCTGATGGGGGATAATGATAGTTATTATTTTTCATTTATGACAGTAGAACAAGGCCTTTTCAGTAGTGGCTCCCCACCTGTGGAAGGTTCTTCCCTGGGAGGCTCGCCTGGCACCATCTCTAAGTGCCAACCAAGCAAAACAAAAACCGTTCCTTTTTCTCCATGCCATTGATTCTTAGCTTTCTGTGGCCTTTTGCTCATGGGTGGGATGTTTTAATGCAGTTTTTTTTTAAAAAAGAAAGATTTTTAAAAGTTTTCATTTTTTATTTTTAATGTAGATTTTAATCAATGCACACGCTCCTTTTGTAACAATTATTTAATAATAATAATTTGTATTATAATTAATAGTAAAGAGAATTTAAATGTAATAATAATGACATACCCCACATCCCCCCCCCTAAGGATCTCAAGCTGGAATAATGGTTCTTTCCCTCTTTTAAACCTCACATCAATCATGTAAGGTAGGACAGGCTAAGATGCAGTGGCTGGCTGTGCCCATGTTCCCAGAATGTTGAATGTATGAAACACATTTTATTATACTGTAGTCTGTATAACCATGTTAGGCAGCTTCTAATCAAACCAATATTAACAGAACAACCTGGATTTGCTGACTCCTTTTATGTTAAAGTTCTCTTTGAGGATAAGACTGATTCTATTACACTGGCTGCAGCACAATTTCTCTCAGAGGCAGGAAGAATCAGAAATCAGTATCTATGGGCTAAAGCTCCTCTGTTGGCTAGCAAAGCCACTCTTACGCCTTAATAACTGTTGATATATGCCGTTTGTTTTACTGTGCATTTTGGGTCTATGGACTACAATAAAGCTGTGTGTGTGGAAACCAAGCCAGATGAGGAATGGTTAAGGGAGTTGGGGATGTTTAATCCGGAGAAGATTCAATGATTCTATAACCCTGTGAGGTGGGTCAGAGTGAGTGACTGGCCCAAGGTCACACCAAGTGACCTTCATGGCTGAGTGCAGATTCAAATCCTGGGCTCTCTCAGGTTTTAGCTAACCACTCTAACCACTATGTCACCACTGGCTTTTTGGTTTGTCTAGACTTCCTTCTCCTTCTCCTTCTCCTTCTCCTCCTCCTCCTCCTCCTCCTTCTCCTTCTCCTAGTCCACTTTTCCCCCAGACTGGGACTCAAGGCTGCTTATGATTAAAACAGTGTGGTTGAAATACAGATAGTAATAACAGCACTATTCAAAACCTCTTTTCCTTAAAATAACCTCCCCAATAATGATCAGTTCCCCCAAAGCTTTGGCATTTTTCATACCAATACTTTCTTTTTCTTTTTTTAAATGATATTTATTGGAATTTTTTTTTTTAAAAAAATACACACACAAAAAAACAAGACAGAAAAATAAAAAAATAAAATAAAACCATCATTCTCAAGTTCTCCACTTTCAATACCTTCTTTCTTTGACCTCCTCCTCCTCCCTTTTCTTGTATCCTGATTAATAATAATCGCAGCAAATCCTTTCCATAATTCATAGTATTCTGTCATTACATTACCTTAATCTATTTTCATCTTATCTTATAGAAAACCTTAAAGTTTAAAACTTAAATCTTATTTTTACCAACTTCTCCTAGCCATAACATTCTTACCAAATTCTTTAGACATTTTTACAAGAGCCAAGTAATTTCATTTCAACATTTTTCTAGCATTCATCAATTTTATAGAACAATCCTAATGATAAAAAAAAGAAATAAACAATCCAATCTTCATCCAGCGTCCCTTCCTCCTGGTCCCGGGTTTTGTCAGTCCTTTTTATCTTATTAATCTAGCACATTAACCTGGTAATCTTATATCCGAAGCCCTCAAGTCTCTTCCATGTCCCTTCCGCAGCTCTTCTTCATATTTTCCTTTCATTCGTGGGAACTCCAGCTTGGTAATGTTTTTGACCCTTTTCAACAAATCAGCCCCTTTTCCATAGTCCAGACTAGACTCCATGTGGTATTTAAAAACATGTTTCAGATTCCTCCAAAATTGAGAGCCCCCACAGCTCCAAACATCTGACGGCCCATTGCCAGACTCGAAAAGTCCAAATCTCCCTGTATAGGGGGGTCTGTCCAACCCCCCATTTCCAAACCAAACCAAACTTTGTCTTTCCAAGTCTGGTTTTTTCCAAGTTCATTTATCAAATCCAAAAATTTATGTTCCTGCTGGGCCGCAGCTCCCTCCGTCTCTGGCGCCCAAGATTCAGCAGCATCCTCTTCTCTCAACTGTTCTGTCATGGCACACTCCTGTTTTAGCTCCTGGGTGGGCTCCATATAATTTCCCACTACCTGTTCAAAGGTTCTGGCCGCATTAGTCATCAAATCCGTCTTCTGGCTTAACTGATCCAATAGGGCATTTATTTTGCAGAGAGCACCCAACAGTGCTTCTGAAGACATTGTCCTGCAAGGTCACAAATCCTTTCCCACGGTTGTAATCTGTGGCAGCTGCAAGCTCCCAGGAATTAGTTACAATTTCACAGTCCCCCTCTAGGGGGAAATCTTCTGGTTGTTCTTTCTTTTAAAAACAATAGCAACAAAGTTTCTTTTTTAAGGTATTTTGTCCATATTTGTTCTTTTAAAATGCGAAAGGAAACAATGGAATCACTATGTTTCTCTTCTTTTAACTATCTGTCAAAGACATTTGTTTCTGGTCAATGAGCTTCAAACGTCAATTCTGACACCCCGCTCCAGGATCAGGACGGTGGAAAATTACTTTGCTTTAAACTCACTTCTGCAGGTTTAAACAGCCCAAAAAGATCCCCCTTCTTCTCCTGCTGCCGAAGGGGGGGTTCAGCGATTTTAAATGATGAAAGCCAATCCTTTGAAAGTGATTTTTAAAGCTCTAGTTTACGTTGTCTTTGCTTTATTCTGGCTACAAGGAAACGGAAGGCTGACTTCCTGTTTAGACCTTCCCGTTTCAGTACCAAATTAAGGTAAATTTTAAGTCCAAATTCCTTTCTATTTCGCCAGTTCTTATTTAAAGTCCAAATGTTCAATGTTCCAGTACTCACGGGTGGTTATTTTAGATGCCAAATTGTCACAGGAAAAAGGCAGCGCTCTCCGGCAACGGCTATGCGGCTTCGCTCCGCAGAAAAAGCAATTGACTCACAGCACCACGCCACTTCCCCCTCTTCGCTTCAGAGCCCGTTAGTGGGTTCCTTTGCGGGTTGGGGGGGTGCTAAGGGTGCCCGCCGAGTCCCACGGTCACAGGCTTCATCCGCCTGTGATTTCCAGAAGGGCCCTTGCTTCGCCGTAGCGGAAAAGACCCGTTTCATGCGGAGCTGGTCCCTCCAGTTCAGAGGGAGTCCGCTATTGCCGATGGCGCCACCCCGGAAGTCCTCCTTCATACCAATACTTTCTTCAAAATGCGAAACAAACTCAAAATAATCACTTTGACATTTTTAAAATCCATTAAGCAGTTGTAAAATGGTATCATTTTTTCCTTAATCCAAGTGCCCATCAACAGCAATTGCATCACAGCATTAAAACAGCTTCATCCTGCAGAAGGCCATTCAAGGTGGGGAGCAGCAGGTGAGACATAGGAGGGAGCCTCAGAGCCCAGATATATCTCCCCCGCTTGGTCTTGAATTAGTCTTTGACCATAATAATAAATTATTACCACTATTACTCCCCCTGCTTGGTGTTTTTCTGGGGACCTCTGCCCAGGCAAGAGAGCCTCTGGGCATGACTTAGGGGGCTGGTCACTGCC